CCTGCTTTTATTGTTGAAGTTGGAAGTTCTCATTCCTCTTTCTCCTGATGCATGGGCAAGGAATGACTTTTCTGACTCCCATTAGGTTTATAAAAGATCATATATCCTGCACAATCCAGGGAAAGCATCTGTTTCCCTTCTAGGGGAACAGCCATGTATCTCTTCATATATGCTTTCAACACGCTTTTCATGTCCCCTCCATGCTTTGTTGTGTTCTGCTGGGTTGTAAGCTGTTAAATTCTGAGCTCTGGTAACTATAATAATACCTCATACAAAATTCTGTGCTGTGAGAGCAAAAGGCCAAAGGCTTTTACAGCTGGAAATAAGACTTTTTTAATGGAAGATATGTTGCTGAATTTACCAGAAAACTTTGCTGGAATTGCCAAAAGAGTACAAGATCTTACACATCTTACTCGTTTGATCACTAATCTCGTTTGACTCAGAAGAAGCATGTGCGGACATGGAAATAGTGTACAATATTTTCAGTATATTCTAGTACTGAAAAGTTAGACTCCTGCCTGATGTTACTTTTTAAACCAACAAAACGGGGAGGGGGAGATGCACTGATACAACTAAGTAGGTTTCTAAGTTTTCGTGCATCTTGGATTTATTTTCCTAAAAAATCATCAGACACTGTAGTAAAATAGAACATCCTGGCATTATCACCGTCTCAAAACCAGTTTGTCAGCGGAACATAAATGATATGATGAACACTTAAGCAGTGCAGCAAATTTAAAACAATATTATCTTAGTCCTGAGTAACTTAACTATGCTGCTAGTGGTGATTTTTCTTTTTACTAAATCTGCATCTTTTCTAAAAGAAAAGCTTACTTCAGCTTAATTGATGGGGTCTGTTATATAATTCACTTCTTATTCTTTCAGATAGCTGGGACAGAGGAGGTGCTACCACAATCTTTGAACTCATCATATGGGAAGGCACAGATTTATGTTCAAGCTAGTGGAGTTGGCATCAAATTGAATTCTGTCCTGTGGGAAATAAGGCCTTCCTTTTGGACTGAGTGTTTCTGTACTGTGGTTATGGAGATTTAGTGTTAGCTTCACACACACCCTGTGTCACCTCGACTGCAGCCAGCTCGGTGCAGGCTACCTTACTCTGCTTCTACTCATGTGTTAAGTTCATGTCAGAGGTGGTTCTTTGTTAAAATTCTTAAGCAAGCAGAAGGTAAGGGATTGTCTTGCTCTCCTGGGCAAGGTGATCCTACTCGAGTTCAGTAAGAGTAAGTAGTATCTAGCACAGCAGCACAGGAAAGATGGTGCTTTTCTACTTTTAATTTGTACTTGCAATTTTAATAAGAAAATGATGGGCAACCTTAGTGTTGTTATAAATAAAAAAAATACATACCAAGTTAAAGCTCTGTGTATGTATAGACTCTCTGATTTTATTTTGACAGGACTCTTTTGATCCTACTATGCAGTTACACCTTGTTCATAAAGTCCCACGCACCATTCCTCCTTACCTCTCAAAAAATGGATCAAGTCTTGGAGATTTGCTAATAGGCTTCTTCAAATATTACGCCACAGAATTTGAGTAAGTATTAAACTTATCTTACAGTTTTGAAATATGTAAGACTTTGCTTTCTTTTGTTTGAAACATCATCATTTTAAGCCTCTTAAATAGGAAAGAATAGCAGCAATGCAGAAGTGATAACTGATAGAGAGGAAACAAGTGAAAGGAATGGAGGGCAGTGGGAATGCTGATATAAAAAGTGTTATCTAAAGTCTTTTGATTAACCAAGCTACTTATTCTGTAAAATAGCTGTCGAAAGTTAGATACCTCTGGCCTTCTGAAATAGCTGAATTTCAAAATGTTTCAAAAATGCATATCTCTGTGCAAAAAGATCTATTCCTAGTTTTAACATAAGGTATATCTTATTGTGTGGAATTGCTTGAACTCTAGTAGTTGCAGTTGTTTTCTGTCAGTCCAAGTAAGTGAAGGTTTTTGCCCGGATGTCACCTTAATTTAACTGTTGGTTATATTTTTGCTTAGGAATTAGTTCACTAATCTGGTTGGTTTCTAGGATTTTGGCATCCGATCTTTCTTGTGAAACAGAAATAGAAGGCAAAGTTATAAAAGAATCTGAGAAAACCATAGGTTATGAACACTTTACCAAACTGCTAGTTGAGAATCTCTTACAAAGATTGCATCTGCATATAAAACACTAGATGTTTGTATTTAAATAGATAAAGTTTTTGAACAATCTTTAAGCTCTCCTTTAACATGTTTTGCAGATGGTGTTGTCTTTTGTTCTTAGAGATTCCATTTGCGTTGTTCCTTTTTAGCTGTCCAGGTGTGCTGCTTGCTAAACCCATAAATTATAGGATGGAGCAATGTGCTCCTTAAAAGTACATCTCCAAATTTCTAATGTGTATAGGACACTAGATGCTTCTTTTGCTACTCATAAGTATGATGTTAATCTCATCAGAAAGTGATCTAATTAGTAAATAATTGTCCATGGTGAAAGAAGCTTCTGGTTTGCCTGCACAAACTACCAGGTAAGGTCGTTGTCCAAATCTGCAAAACATTTGACTCTTCTCATTCATGTGCTTGTCAGCATACAGTTCGGAGCACATTCTCGGGAAGTTGGTCTCTGGTTTTTGTTGCTTAAAGTATCATTACCTGCACTGTTTGTAATCCCTAAATATTACTTTTTATCAATGATCATCATTTAAGGAAAAGATGTTATCTATATTTTATTTTAGCATTATGGAAGAACTTCTGTATTTTTTTTTTTTTTTAAAAAAAGGCTGAAAAGATTGAGGGGCTTAGTGTAGGTCTAGAAGCAGAAGAAAAGAGACTCAAAAGGTCTTTGAATCCTCTAAAGAAGACTGGACTGCGAATGAAGATTTGATTGTGTGGATATGAAAACTTACTAAAAGAAAAACTAAGGCTACAGGTACAGAGTGACAATAGGATAGTTCCTGAAGTCAAGAGAAGAAAATATTTCAAAAACAACAGTGATGAACATATTGCCATTTTTTTCAACATTAACTACCTGTTCAATATTTAAACTTCTGACTAGTGATATTATGCTAAAAAGAGCTATAGAAAATACTCAAACTTCTGTGCTGAGAATATTATGCTGAGATATCATATTAGGAAATGATACACTTACTGGAGCAACTTGTATTACATTTAGCTATTTGTCCTATGGAAATAAAACTTAATGAGTTCTTCTCATTATTTGGCCATAGTCATCCATATATCCCTGGCAACTTTAAAACCTGTTTGAAAGAAGCACGATGTAGGTCTCAAAGACATTAGAGTTTCTTAAAGTTTTAGGAAAACTGTTAATTGAATGGAGGAGAAAAACCCAAATTAGTGCCCATGTGCAGAAAGGCAAGTAGAACATAGTGTTTAAATATTTTTCATTTGTCTGATAGTCAATCACTAAGAACAAATGTACTTCCAAGCTGTTCATAGTGTACATTATCTTTGCTTTTACATTGCTGATGGAAACCATGTTTGGAAGGACAGAAATATTATTGCAAATAGGGATTAGAATGAGAGTTAAATACACATAATACAGGGCTCTTAGTTCTGCTTTTTATGGCATTCATTTTTATTCCTGAACATGTAGAATATTTTTATTGCTGTAATCAATTTTATCATTCTTTGCTTTTCCTGTAAGATACTTACCAGGGTGTCTTTTTGTGCAGAATTCTTGAGATTCAATTCCAGATGATGCTAAGTCAGGTCACATATTTATATAATCTGTACTGTGCCAGTGAACTTCATGCTATTGAACTGTAATGTGTTTTGATAAAAAGATTACTAAGGAAAATGCTACTACAATAGTCACACAGGTGACTTGATTAGATTCCTTCCTATCAAGTAGGACACGACTAAAAGATTTGATACTTATGATGTCTTTTGCTGAAAGAACAACCTGCAGTCAAGAATGATCAGATAATGTGTAAAGATCAATGTTTGGAACAGAATAACTCACTGAAGTTACCTGCCCGCAATGCCCAACTGATAGGGATCCACTTGCATGTATTGGTTGGGAAGCTAGAGATGAATTATTTTAAATTTCCCCCTTGGTCTAGCAAAGGCCAGTAGGCGTTTCCATTAAAAACTATTTTATTTTACTTGATGCAGTAAGTAATACTTACTGGCAAGATGGGACCAGTGAGTAGGCCACAAAGGGAGAGAGAAGATCCTTGCATGCTGTGCAGCCTCAAAGAACTTCATCTCTGTGTGTTATGTTTTTCTCTTTTGCTATTTCATCTCTTCCATTTATTTAGGGTATAAGTTCTTTCAGAGAGACGGACTACCATGTGCTTACACAGTGCCCATCCAACATTCCTACTCTGATTTTTTTCTTCTTTTTTTTTGCTCTCTGTATAGAAAGTAACTGTTCTTCCCTTCATAAGTTATGAGTAGCGTTATTTGGAAATGGCTGTGTCTGTTGAGCTTCAACATCACATCTGGCCAAGCTCACACAGTTTGCCAGCAGGCTTGTGTAACTAACCTGCCACAGAGTTCAAGCAACAGTGCCTGTATAACATTTCACATGATTCAGCAGGCTAAAAGTATGCGTTTAGCACAGTTCTACCATTTAGTATTTCTCGTTATCTGAGTTCTGCTGATTATGCAGTGAATCTGATACATTTTTCTGCTTTATGGAGTTATTCCCAAAAGAACATATTTGGAAACTTGTCCTATGTTTACCCGGCCCTCTGAAGAGTGTCTGATTTCACTTGTGCAGCTGTGAGTGAAGGCAGCAGGTTTTTGCTTGGCTGGCTTTTTACGAAGTGAGAACTCAAAGCAAGACCTTGCTTCTTGCTCCTAAAGATATTGCTAGGGAACTAGTGGTTATCATTAGGGCACTTGGGACCCTCCTTTTTTATATTTTTGCAGCAAAGTGCAAGTATATCTGATTCTCACAAATGTGGTCTACTTTGGGAATTAAGAAGAGGGAGCATAATGAATTAGAATGAAAATTCCCTTTGCTTTGAGTCTTCGAATGCTAGAAGTGGTTATCAACATCTATACCGATTTTTAAAGAGTACATCAAGAGAAATATAAATAGACACAGAGATATGAATAAGTAAGATATCCTGATGTATGCTTTGTGCTCTGCCCTGCAACATTTTGAAGTATGAAGAAGAAGGAAAAAAAAAACACTATTCATATAATAAATGGAAGAATAATGCCTGTGTTTTGCTGAGGAAGTGCAGTTATTCAAACAGCTGACTTTCATAAGCAGCTTTAATCATGAGTTGTTTCCAAGCTAATTTGTAGAATCTGTGGGGGCAGACTATTAGCTGGTGCAAACTCTTATCACCATAGACTTAATGGTGTTATGACAGCTGAGCCATGACCTAAGAAGCACAGAATTCTTCCAGATTTAACTGATGATTTACAGATTGTATTTTAATTTACAGTGGATATTTACATAGCTGCAGGAATGTTACTCAGCCAGGTTCTTCCCTCTTTGCAACATATCAAAAGATCTGTATTGTCAGCAGTTCAAGTCAGCTGTGAACAAAAGATTGCTGCTGGCAGCAGTGCTGCCCCCTTATTTCTAGCCCTTATCTAATGCATGGGAGTGGTGACCCACTCTTGGCATTCCCGGCCTTTTGCTGGTATGGCGGTTTCCTGGTTTAGTTAAAAGCAGCTGGGAACTGGCTGTATAGGGTTGGTTAACATCACAGAACTGTAAGTGGTTCAGTTTGGCTGCCATTATTTTTAACCCACAGCTGTGCCAAGCACATATATCCAGTATTTTTCATTATTTCCCTCTAAACTGTATTGCTCTTCCCTCTTTGGTAAGATCACTTTCTATGTTTTCACTTCTAGAAAATTGTACGTAGAAAGTAGGTTATCTACAAATGCGTATTTGCTGTACTGGCACTGCATCTGTAGAGAATCTAAAATTTGGCATATATGAAGCCTGATTGCTTTCTAATAGGTTCCTTGCAGCAGAAATGCTGACCTGTAAGCAGGGTATCTTTATATTGGCCCATCACATACTTTGCATTGAAATCCATTAAGTAACTTAATCTGCATTTAAATTCTTTACCTTCTTTTTTGGCCACAGAAAACTGTGAAAGATGGATTTACAAAGTGCTGATTTCTTTTATGTTTAGAAAAAAAAAGTAGTTTCAGTGTTCAAATTGACAGTGGTTTCTGGAAAAAAAAATCATAAATGTATGCTACTCGTAGAAACCTGTTGTATTCTGTTTAACAGATGTTTTCATAAATAAATGTGTTTGAAAAAATGTTTCTTGTTTCCTACTCATTTTCGTTACTTCATATTGTGAAGATTAAACTGTTGTACTCTGTTACAGGTTATTAAAAAGGATTGTGCTATCCATAGTATTTTGATATCTTTTTAATGCAAACTGATGTTACTCAAAATGAATAATTTATAAGGTCACTAAACTATTTTTTTCCTCTAGCTGGAGCCATCAAATGATTTCAGTTCGTGAGGCCAAAGCTATTCCCAGACCTGATGGTATTGAATGGAGAAACAAGTATATTTGTGTGGAAGGTAAAATGTAAAACTGTGTTATTATTTTTGACTGTTAATACTCCAAATACCTGAATCTGTCACTTGGACTTTACCTGTCATATTTAAACGTGATGTTTTTGTAGAAAACAGTGCTATCAATGTAGATTGTTCTATAATTATGTAACAGAATATCTTTAAAAACATCTGAGAAGGAAGCTTTACGTTCTATAATGTTTAAAAATAGTTCTCCTGACCTTTTCTTCATTTAGACTCATTGCTCTTTTACTTTTGGAACAGAGATTGGGATTTTGAAGAGTAATGGTCTTCATGACAGTAATCTGTTTTTTGCTGTTCTATAAAAAATAGTGATCATTTTTTTCCAAGTTTGAGTTCCTGCAGAAACACAGTGGGCGCAGAATCATATTCCTCTCTAAGACTATACTTTGTTCTGGTAATGCTTTGACATCACAAGTTCTAGTGACTGAATGTGCGTATGTTGGTCCCTTTGTGGCTACTTGGCTTATACAGTTACTGTGGTGACATTCGTGATGTTCTCCAGAACATCAACAAGGGGTCAACTTGGGCTTCCTTTTAGAGCTGCAGCTCTTGAACACTAGCTTCACTATATGTTTGAACTGTACTGTGCCCTCTTGATATCTTAGAGCTGCCATAGGGAGCCTCCATGAAGAAGGAATATGAACAGTTTGTAGGCATAGGAGATATGAAACTTGGAACAGGAAAAGAAAAAAAATATTAAGAGAAGAATTATGATGTTGTAAGGGAGAATGAAAAGGAGGAATGGGACTGGGAACTACAATGTAAAGAGGAAACAGTTAAACAAATAAGAAAGGGAAGTGAGTACTGGTAGGCAGCAATTGAGTGGAAATCAACTGGACAAGAAATCATGAATAAGGAACCAAGGTAGAGTGGAGGCAGAATTAGAAATGGTGGCTGAGTATACTGGGTTGAAGAGGAAAGGTCTAGAATGAGGGATGGAGCCTTGGCCCTGGATCTCAATGGAAGACCCAGTTAGGAGATCATGAGTGAAGTTTTAGGATAAATAAGTAATGGAAAGAATTGTTACAGAGTAGGAGAACTTGGGAAGGAAGAAGGCAGAAATGTAGTGGCTACAAACACATTCCTTAGTTTTTGCAGATTCATGTGTGCGCATGCACACAATTTGCTCCATTAGTGCTGCTCTCTGCAGAGCATACTTATCTGCTGGCTGTTAGTCATTCTGCAGAGAAGAGCTATTGAACTTGGCAGTAATCACATGGATAAGGGTGTAGAATCATGTGGTAAACCCATTTGCCTTCTGGAAAAAAAGATGGCTACCAGTCATAGGGAAAAGTACACTGAAAGCTGTTAAAAAGGTTGAGATGGCAAAGTCAAGCATGCAGAGTTAAGAAATGTGAGAAGTGGAGTGTCTGCACAGCTGAAATGAACTGGGATAGTGCCATGCAGACATTGCCCAGGCACTGCTGTTTCCACTGTGGGAGCTAGGAATGCTCCACAGCTGCCTCCACTGCACCCACGTGGGCTGAGCCAGGGGCTACCAGGGGCTGTTTCAAGCTCACTGTCTCTCTGAAAATTAGAAAGTGGATGAATAGTTGGTCTTTTCTTCAGTTTAGTTGGAAAAAGAATCTCAGCACAGAAATTCAGCATTTTAGAGTGTATATTGAATGTGCTTTATCAAACATAACTCTGAAGAGAGCACATTTTGCATTTGAACTGTTGAGCCAGAGATGAGCCAGCAACTGTCTGTAGCTGGTTCATCTGATTCCTTGCTGTTCCCACATGCTTCAAGACTTTATTAGTGTGGACATGATCCTCACATATCAAGTTTCTATTAATAATTCTGAAGGAAAAAAAATGATTTCCTGTTTATATTCAAAAGAGGCCTCATCCGTAAGACCTAATACAGTGAACTAGTTTAACTGGAAATAGGTAGATGAACTCTTCACTGAGAGGAAGAGAAGCTTTGAAAAGTTAGATAAATATGTTGACATGTTCTAGTTTGAAAGTCTCTATAAGCTTTATCTATTTAGTGGACTAAAATTTCAATAGTTGTTATTACTTATTGAATATTATTTATCTTTAAAAGTATAAATTGTATAAATCTGCCTGCAAGTTGCCGACATTCTACATGTAGCACTATATTTTAGTTTGCTGAAAGGAGGAAAAAAAAAAGGGAGAAAAAAAGTTCTTTAATTTCTTTTAATATGCCTTAATACTGATTCTCACCTTCATTTCTGCTGTTTGAAAAATGAAGGTAGCATTAGTGTTATGGTGATATCAAGAATGGCCACTCTCAGTGACCTTTTGGGAACTTTCCTCATCAGAAGATCTAAACTGTTAATGACCATTCTGGTTTAATTTAGCTCTTGTCTACATCAGACAGTATCATATCTTTTTGAAAAAGACACATTTAGGGAAAAAACAGGAATTTGGCAGTTTTGTAAGACAATTAATTGACAGTCATTTAGGGAAAAATGTCTATGCTGTGCCCGATTCATGCCTGTATTTATAAATCTTCTATCTCCATGAGAATTTAATACATATATTAAATTCATTTCTAAAAATAATTCTTCAGAGCTTGCTCTGTATTTGTATGGTTTCCTGTATTTTTATTTGAGAATGTGATCTCCAGTATCATACTGCTGAAGTTGTTCAACTTTTCCTCTAAAACTGTCAACAAACTACCTAATGAAGGATTCTCATTGTCCTCAAGCTTAGAAAATGTTAATGGTGTAAATCATTTCTGATTGCAAAATTCTTGCTGTATCTCAGGGAATGAATGTCTTTAGAGACTTAGTAAATATGCAAAAAGAATAAAGGGAAGATGCGAGTCAGCTTTTGTAGCTGGGAAGAGTGCCTTTTTTCCCCACTGTCAGTTTTAGAAGATGGTACAGCTTTGCTCTTGTTACTTTTTAAAAACATTTCTTTGATACAAGATTAAATACATAAACATCCTAGCATTGAAGAAATATCAAATGTAGGAAATGCAGAAGTGCTCTACTGTTTCACGTGGTGAGGGATATGGAATTCTTGTAGCAGTATCAAATTATGCGCCTGTCACTGTATCAAATTATGTGACTAGAATTAGAGAGCTAGATACTTTTTTATTATTTGCTTGCCAGTGTTGTGATCCAGTGTGATGCTGCAGCATACAATGTACTCTAGATTAAAATAAATCTGTGTGTAAACATTCATTAAAATACTTTGTAGGTAGTTTAAAGAAAACCTTCTAGGAATATGCTAAATGCAGCTTTTATTGCTTGGAACAATCTCTTTGATTGAGAGTTTAAATAGCTTTCATATTAAAAACCCAATGTCATGGAACATTTTCCAGATTTAAAGCCCCAGTCTCCATAATGTCAAAATCACTTCTGATGTGTGAATATTCATTCTATATGTCTTTAAATAAAAGCAATTCATAACCAACTCAATATAAATGCTACCTGATATAACAAGGACTGCCAGTTTAAAATATGCCACATTTATTTAGCATTCTGTAATATGTCAGGAAAATAAACTGTATAAAATCTGTTTGCAGTGTGTTGCAACACATAGTCTTTGCATCTTAGTTCTTTAGTATTGGCTTATTGGTAAGGTAGGCAACCATCTCAGTAACAAGGAGTACTTTTAAATCTGTCAAGATATTTAAAAAACAAAACAAAACAAACAAAAACAACAACAACAAAAAAACCTGTCAACATAACTGATTGTGCTGGCAAAAAAATGATAAGCATCATATAAATTTTTAGTCTGTTGGAAACGAGAAAAGCCTCCAGTTGTCAACTTATGAAGAGATGAAGTAGAATAGATTTTAGGTAATAAAATTTGTATTTTATAACTAGTTAATAATTTTTACGTAAAAAGTTGTGAATATTTTACTGTAATTCTTGTATTTCACTGATTATTGAATGACATAAATCTAAAGTGAACAGTTTCAAAGAGGGATACATGCAGTAAGTTCCAAAACACTTTATTATGCCAAATCATATTCTATAGGTCAGAACAAACTATTAAACTATCACAAATAATTACAAATTCATGAATTCAGCACAGCCACGGTATACTTTGGAAATAATAGGCTGATTTTTATTGTGAATTACATAATATTAGAGTGTTTAAGGGGAGGAATTGATAATATGTACACAGAGAAATGCAGAAGCAAAGTGGACTTAGCTGCTTAAAACCCTCTTGGGATGTAATGATATATTAACTGCTTTTTTTTTTTTTTTTTCTCCTTCCTCTTCACCACCAATTGCTTGTTAAGTGAAGACAGGCTAATGCTAGTGTTCCTAACACTTTTAATGACTATGTTTGATCTTACAGAGCCTTTTGATGGGACAAACACCGCTAGAGCTGTACATGAAAAGCAGAAGTTTGACATTATCAAAGATGAATTTATGAAGGTAAAACCTGCACTCAGTTTAATTTTTCCAGTCAATTTGATATTCAAGATATGTGATAGATATGTGAAAGCTAGTCAGTGGCCCTATAAATGTCTCCTTCTGCCCCCCCCCTTTTTTTTTTTTTTTTCTTCTTTTTTCTTCTAAACACTAAGGAATCTATTTATCTCATTGCCATTGAGATGGGGTTTTGTTATGCACTGTAGCTAAAATGGGCTCTGCATTAAGAAAGGAGTTTTGGTGCAATTATTTGTAGATTCATGGTCTAGCAGATATAACAGAGTTACCCTGGAATCCAGGACAGAATACAGAAAGAAGTGGAAATAACCTATTTTAAAGACCTAATTATAAGCTCTGGAAATATCAGAGGATAACTTCTTATATCAGGCACTTCTGCATATGTAAATTTGAAAAAATCATTTTTCAATCAGAATATCAATGTTAAGATATGATCATTCTTAACATAAAGAATGTTAACATTTCTGTCTCCACAAATTTTCTCTCTTCCTGAATAGACATATGTTTCCCAATGGTTCATTGCCCTTTGTGCATCTCTGAATTCTTCCTCCCTGAGAAAGAAATTTCTTTTCAAGAGAGGAAAAAGTACCAACTTTTTTTTTTCTTGTGGAATTTTAGGGCTTAATGCTTACAATGGTATTTAAGTATTAATGACCCAGAAGAAGATTTAGTCTTTTAAAACCTTGTACTTTTTTCCCAGTCTTGGCAGATATTACAAGACAAGAAAGACTTGAACTATATATTACCTTTAAGAACAGCCATACAGAAAAGAAAACCAAATTCTTTCATTTCTT